CCTCTTCCAGCATTTTCTGTCATGACAACTCCTTGCAATTTTGCCTCCTAATTTTGTTCTGCCTGAAGTTGCTGGCTTTAGACATGCTCACTGTAACAGTCAATCACAGCCATCCAATGGTTTTAAATCTGATGAATCTGTTGGTAGTAAATTTGTTACTTGCATCTGGACCTGCCTGATCAGTCACTCTGAGTCATCTGAGGAAACTCAGTGAAGCCAATCTGTGCTGTGTCTATGTCAAGTATTGATGATAGATGTTCAGATAGTCACGTTTTAGGATAGCTGCATGCTTGTTTTCTCTTTCCGTAATGTTTTAAAGATAATTCGAGTTACAGAACTGTAATGGCCCACAGTTGCTTGAATTTGAGTGGTTTGGAAGGCACAGTAGGATTTGATGACTGCACATGGGCAAGCAATAAAGTGTTTGGTTCCCATCTCATCCAGCAGTTATGTGTCTACCATACCCACGTATGGAGAGGTGCGCTTCTAAACTGAAAATTTGGAATGACAGTAGAGTATGAGGTGCAAACAGAGAGGACATGTTCTGCTTTCATGAGTGTTGATTCGAACAATTTCCCTTTATAGTGGAGAAACCGCAAGCTAAAACTATCCATCAGAGTGTGAAAGGGTTGGAAGGATATTACAGAGTAATACAGGAAGGAAAGTGGATCTCAGCTGTTGGCTGTGAACGTTGTCTTAGGTTTTGGCTCAATTTTTGCTCAAAGTGATTGTGATAATAAGATGTGGAAGTCATAGAAGAATTGGTGGCTGTTTTGGTGTGGTTGTTGCTTCCAGAACTGTGTGACAACTTTTTAGATAATTCCTTATTGCAAGGGGATTTTCTGGAGTGCCAGATATTATCTATTTTGTATTGCCTCATCTGGATGTCTCGTCTGTTAGTGATTTTGAGAATGGAAGTACTCAACACAGAGAAACACTGTAATATTCTCACAGGTCGCACTGACTGGATTTGATTAGACTTTTTTGAGAACATAGACCTCAAAGTTCCCAAGTCTTATGAGGTACTACTGGTCCTGGGAAGCACTGAAGTCTCAGTTTTTTACCTGGGTGTCATGTACTACACTTGCAATGAATAAGAATGCTGCTTAGAAATTTTTCTGCTATGGTTCCAAAATCTCTGAGGTCCACAGTTAGACTGCCTGGGGTTTTTTTCTATTTTAATTAAATAACCATGATATCTGGCTCAGAGAGTTAGTATGGATAGTGTGCCCAGCATAGGATGAGTGTTTTCTACAGGGACGCTTGTTTAATATAACTCACAGGAAGTTTCGGTCTGTGTCTACAAAGGTAATGGATAAGAAAATGGAGAAAAATCAAATGCAGATGAGAAAATGGAATGCTATATATGTTAAAATAAAGAAACGGACTGGCTTAATGACATCCAAGAAACACAAATACCCGAGCTCCAGAATTCCAGAGTGTTAATCTCATTAGTTCCATATTATTATGCAACTGTCGGCTCCTGGACCCTTGTAGAATCACAGAAATTCATTGCAGAAACTGAATCAGGTTAGAAATTTAAATTAATTATTGAAAGCAGCTCTAGTTTCTTATTTGAACCCAGTTATGATTTACAGTACTGGATTACTGACTTGCCAAACTCTCTTTTAAACAGTTACCTGTCATTATGCTGCTGAAGAAGTCCAGGTCTTTCCATAAAACCTGAAAATGTATTTATTTTCAGCAGGAATTACTCTTCCTGCCAGTGGAATCCCCGTAGATTTGGCTAATTGTAATATGGCTGTAAATATGTGATTTCCATGGAAATTAATTTAGTCACAGGAATTTTTGTCTTTTTTTTTTTTTTTTTTTTTTTTTTTTTTTTTTTTTTTTTTTTTTTTTTTTTTTTTTTTTTTTTTTTTTTTTTTTTTTTTTTTTTTTTTTTTTTTTTTTTTTTTTTAGTACTGATGGCTTTGCTTAATGTGGTTGCCAAACACATATATGGTTTAAAGAAAAATTTGATTAACATATTTATGCTGAACTGCTCAGTATATTGTTATTTATACTGAGCTTGTCAGGACACGTATGTATTGCTTTTCTGGATGAAGCATGAACTTCTTGACTGTCTCTCATGGATTTGTGCTGTTAGCAAATAAGGAAAATCTCCTTTAAATCAATCAGGATGTGTTCTTTTGTCCTGTTAGACACTAGTGGTAGTAATTTCATAGCCACACCTTAATGTAATATTTTTTCAAAGTTTTAATCAGGTGGTTCCTTAGTCTGTGCAAATTGCCATTAGGTTTATTTAAGTTTGAAATACCTTTTTAAAAAATACCTTTTTTATAATATTATTCCAGAGTGGGATAATGTTTATGTGATATTTTCAGATCCAAACTTGTACAGACAGTTTTAGTGTTAATGCTTTATTTTAAACTTTTCATGTTTTAATCTTTTTTTCCCCCATGTGATATTGACAGTATTCAAGTTATATTTGGGTTTTTTCCTGTTGTCAGTGTCTGTGAGCTAGAATTCAGTCTTTACATAGTTTTTGTCTAGAAAATGTCTTCATTGTTTTCTGGGGTTTGTGGGAGTTTTTGCTTTTGTTTTAAGAAAGTACTTGAAAATGCCACATATGAATGGTAGGCAGGGAATTCAGAGACAGTACTATTACAAGACGTATCTAAGGGCTGGAGGATATTTACAAAAACACGTAGTGACAGGACAAGGGGAAATGACTTCAAACTGAAAGGGAGTAGCTTTAGATTAGGTAATTAGGAAAAAATTCTTTACTGTGAGGGTGGCAAAGCACTGGAGTAAGTTGCCCAGAGAATTTATGGATGCCCCATCTTTGGAAGTGTTTAGAATCAGGTTGGATGAAGATCTGAACAACCTGGTCAAGATGAAATGTGTCCCTGGCAGGGAAGTTGGAACCAGGTGACCTTTAAGATCCCTTCCAACCTGAACAACTCTATGATTCTGTGACTCTATGATATATAGTAGTAATGGTAATTTAATTTACCTTCTTATCAACTTTCATTTTAGGAGTAACCTTATTGGCACAGCAGGGCAATTGTTTACTTGTTAGATATTGGCAAACAAGCCTAGTACCAGGAGTCTTCCCTTTTTTTATTAAAAAAAAAAAAAAAAGAAAAAAAGAAAAAAATGCCACACACACAAACACACAGAAAAAACAAAACCACCAAAAAGACCCACAACAACAACAACAACAAAAACAAACACAAAAAAAACCACAAAGCCTCCAAAAAAACCAGAATAATAGAATTGTAGAGTGGTGACCTTGGATGTTTCCATGTATATACTTCTTTGTTCCTCTCTTTTATATTTTTTAGATATATTTGAGAATCCTTGTACCTGTTGAAGTCATCATAGGCAACTAGCTGTAGTAGAAATTGTACGCTAGTGAACTGGCATTAAATTTTGCATTGTTCCATTAGCTACAAGGATAAGAAAACATTAAAATGGACGATAACATTGATTTTTAGCATATTATTTAAGAAACAGGAGATGTAAGAAATGTAGAGAGCCTTGTTTTTGCATATACACAAAATTTTAATGTATATTAGCCATGTGTAATGCGATTCAAATTTGCAGCTATCACTTTGCTTCCTTAAACTGTTCTCAGATGTTTATTTTTTGTCTAGATTAACCACGGCTTTGATCAATACTTCTTTTATAATAAGAATGGTCAAGCAAAATGGTGTGAGTGATTACATGGTTCTGACCTGCATAATGACAATAAAATAAAATCCATGTTCTGAATGTATTACCTTTTTATTATTTTCCTTACAGGACCAACTTTTTTTTGTTCACTAGCTAATTTCTCAGTAAAGGCTTCTGCTGAGATGTCTGCAGAGACATGAAGGCTTTCTCCACTGATCTTTTATTCATAACTTAGAACTGAGTAAATACTACTAGTAGTATAATTATGCCTTCTAGTTAATCTATATGAACATAAAGACACAAAAAATAACAGAAACATATCAGTAGATGTATGAAGCAAAATCTGATTGCATATGTAAATAGCTTTTTAAAATAAAATTTTGATTTTTTTTTTTAATATAATGCATAATTTTTTGTCTTTCTAGATATGGCATGAACTGCCTCATTCAGTTTGAGGATTTTGCTAATGCTAATGCATTCCGCCTCCTGCACAAGTACCGAAACAAGTACTGCACTTTCAATGATGACATTCAAGGTAAACAGAATTTTACTCTTCTCTTAAATAAATTTCTGCTCACAAGCCAGAAAAAATAAGACTTAATTTCCTGAGGAAAACAAATCTATCAGCTTTACTGTGGTATTTGTAGATGTACAGATCATATCTTGCCTTGGGTTTCCTCAGTATGGGTTTCTGGTGAGCTGTGTTTGCTCTTTACCTTTCCCTCCTCGTTTACACCTCATGCTTTATTTAGATGTTTAGTCTTTGGGGTTTTTTTTAAATATTTTAGTACGTGAATGGCATTCACCATATACATTATGGACTTCAGGTCTTTGAGCAAATGTCAAAGCTCAAGCCTGGACTGTACTTCCCTCAGTTTTTTGTCACCACAGTGACAACTGCTCCACTGTTCCTCCATGCAACTGGCTTGATAAATGTCAGACTGTATTTGAGTTCTTAAACTGACAACTCAGTTAAGTATTCATGTAATTTTCCTCACAGTCTCATTCAATTTCAGAGGGAGATGACTCTATTTTCCCATCTGAATCATTTTTACAGCTGGCAAAAGGAAAATATCTAGGATGGGAAATGTCAGTGAGGGGGATTCCCCAGTGCTCAATCTAGACAAGGATCTTGTTGCTTCCCTTCCAGAAAGACAGACAAGCAGGGCTGAAGTGGTGTAAGCTACTGCTTAGGTTGCCTTATATCCAGCTGGGAAAAGAGCACTAGAAAATAACTTTCTCTAGGGCAGTAAGTGCACTGGCTCCCATCCTTGAGAGGAGGCCAAAGTCTGATGCAGAGAGGTACCTGAGGAAGACCCTGGGCACGCATTTGCCTCTTACCACTGTTCCCTTGGGTAGATAGAGGTCCTCAGCAGTGACAGGATCAAAAATGGGAGTTTTGTTGTCTTCGTTTCTCACAGTTTTCAGTGACACTTTAAGCCAACCATAAGGAGCTTGGGTATGCCAGAGGTTTTTATTTTGAGTCATGCTTGGGGTCTGGGTCTTATTTCAGGGACTCAATGCATGGCAATGGATTCAAATAGCCCTTGTCTTTCTGGTGTTAAGGTTTTGGGTGACCACATGAACTACGCTTCTGTTACAAGCCTGGCTGAGTTTTATTTTGCATCTGAAACAAATTATGGAGGACAACCTCCCAGATGGGAAATTAACTAATTATTAAATGTAATTTCCCTTTGTAAGAAGCACGATGCTTCTCTACCCTGCAGGATCTGACTGTAGCCATGGTTACAACAGTCCAATACAGCAGGCCAGGGAGCATCTGGAAGTTTCCCTGGTTATTTAGAGCCTCAGCTCCTACAGGGAATTCTCTTTCCTTTCAGGGCGAAGACCCTTAGCCCAAATCAAGAGAGACTCAACCAGAATGTGGTTTCAAAGAAATGTTAGGGAAGCTTTTCAGCAGAAGTGTACCAGCTGTGGGTAAACTTAGCTGACAAAGTCTTCTGTGTCTTTATTTGCATTTTCAAACCACTACGTTCTCTCTCATGCACCTTGAAAGGAGGTGTCCCAGCTGCGTAATCACCTTCAGTAACTTTTTGTTTTCATAGGATGTCATCTTCCCCTATAACATGGAAGTAGAATAACAGCCCAAATGTAGATCCAGTGATCTTTCATCTCTCTTTCTCTTCCAATTTTAAAAACCCTAAGGATCTTTTACCTCACAATTGACATGAGGATGGGTGATGCTAACTTCTTTAGCACTTCTTAAAGATTTTCAGATTCTAAGTGGCATTATTTTTTCCACACTACTTGAAAGAGTGGCTTTCTCTGTTTGTAAGTTGTATTCTCTACCCCTAGAGCCCTAAAGCTGATAAGTAGTGTCAGGCCAATAAAAGCAAAGAAACACAGCACTGCATCTAATTTGCCCGCATCTTCTGAAGATAGTGCTTACGTGATATTTTAAACAAAGTTTCTTAATATTTCTTAAGTTTTAATATTTTTAAGGGAAAGTTATTTTAAGATCAAAAGAAATGTTTAATATGTTTCATGGAAAGTCTTTTTTCAGGAGGATTTTCATTGCCATAGGATATCCAGTGAAAGAATTCCTATAAATCTTAGTGATGCAATAAGAACCATTAAATATCTCAAATCCAAACAAGCTATTATATGATCCTGACTTCTGACAGACACTGTAAAAGATAAAGAAAACATGGAAAGGTGCATACTCATCTGCAGGTACTAACTTAGACAAATACAGTTGCCTTCTCTTAGCTCACAGGTATTTACAGGGTGTCAGCATGCTCCCTAAGTGACACCATCGCAGAACGTTGGGAAAAAGGCTGCCAAAACACTGATCTTATGGAACCACTAGAGACTGACCATTAAGGGTCACCTGTAGACATATTTAAGAATTTCTGGAAACAGATTTGTCTCCCTCCCTGCTACAGTAAGGTCACATGATTTACTTTGGAAAAAGCTTTGTAACTTTTCCTATATCCCCCCTCTGTACTCAAGGAATTGGGAACAGGATTCTGACTAACTGCTATAAATCTGTATTGGAATAATAAAATTTTTCATATTTTAACATTCTCAAAAGCATCTTTGGTTTTGGATGGGTGGTGAATTTCTTCCCTCTGTAGTTATGATAATTTCTTTGTATTTATAGTTTCAAAATACTCTTTTACAGACACAATAGCAATAATGTTTCCTTAGGGAGAAAATATTCACTTTTTTCCTTGAATTCTTGTCTGGTTTTACTCTGACCACAAATCAGCTTGATAATTTTTTTTTTCCTCTTCGAAATACCTCAAATGATTTTTGGAAAAGAAAATCAGTAAAAGCCTTGGGTTTAAAACAAATACTTTTATGTGGTTCTGTCTAACTAATGTTTTCCAGAATGGAGAGCGTTTTGATAATGATTTTCTATATGGGAGGAATATTAATTAATTTTGTTATGTCAAACTTCACAACATTTAGAAATTCCTGAATTAGATCAGGTTGCTAGTTTTGCTCATCTCCAATATATTTAGGAAGGAAAAGTATAAAGAAAAGGTGGAATTTTCCTGAAGATAAGATGTGTGGCTTTTTTTCTCTCCAATCCCTGCATGAGACCAGACGAATAGCAGAAGAACTGGGGCCTGCGTTGCCAAACAAAGCTTTTTATCGAGGTGGAAGATGTCCTCTTCTTGATCACTCTAGAATGAGGCAGGGTGGGGATCCATGGTTTGAAAATCCTCTTAGAGAAACTATCTGGTTCCCTTTCCTGCTGCAGGAGAAGTCTCTTAAGACCTGGTAAAGAAGTCCCAGGTACAGGGCCAGGACTGCAGTATCTAAAGTCCTGCTTTACAGGTGGGATCGGCTCGAACCATACCTGCCTGCCCCTCACAAATCCAGCTGGGGCAGTGCAGGGTGCCGTGGTGCTCCCTTTCCACGCCCAATTGATTTTGGTGGGTCTTTTGAAAGAGGTTTTGCTACTCAAGTACAGTCAGTGGCTTAAGGCATGTTTGCCCGTCTTTAGAGTGGTGCATTTGTTTTATATGGGTCTCTCAGTGCTTATCATGTGGTAGCTGCTTGCAGTCATTGCCGATGTGGATGCATTTCTAATAGTGATATCAATTTCTCTAGCCTTGCTGCTTCTATGCAGGTCAGTTATTTAAATTGGTTTAATCTTTTTCCCCACTCCTGCACTTAAGGATTGTCTCAATTGACAATGACAAACTTCTGCAGTATAAGCCAATTTATATAAAATAAGTGTTTCTCTGTCCCACACTGCCCACAATGCTTCCCCCCCCCTCATGGACACAGAGACTGTATTTTATGCCAACAAAAATATTTACTCGGAGAGACTGCACTGGATTGGAATTAATTTCAGTATTCATCATGACCTTAGATGTCATTAGTTTTTAACAGCTGTGCTGTTTAATTGCATCAACATTTTATGAAAAGAAAGAACCCTAAAATAAAAATGTAGAGTCCATATAACTTAAGATTATTGTTTGGTTTTACATGTTTGGTTTGATTTGAAATATATGCTAAATCACCAGACTACCATTTGAATAATTAGGAAAATTATACCTGGAAATTACGTTACGACTAATTCAACATTAAGTCAGTGCCATTCTCAGAGATCAGAATTTCTCTGTCACAACCATTCTGCTTTTTAAGATTTAATTCTTTTTAACATAAACATCAAAAAGTATACATTTGGTACCTGGAAATTCCAGTTCTTGAAATAGAATTGTAAAGAAGGTTTTAGGTTTGTTGTTGTGGTTGTGGTGGGCATGGGGCTTCCGATTCATTCTCTGACCAAGAATTTGAAAAATGCAAAGTTGAATGACATACAATAGCTCGTATATTGATATTATATATCTCAAATTCTGATATCATGTGCAAACTGTAGAAAACTTCTTTCATAAGAAGAAGAGACATTTGCTTACCGGTGAAGCACACTGGGATTTTTAAAATAAAATAATTTAAAAAACTCTAACCTATTAAGATATATGCTGTAGAGTTATGTAAAGTGTATTTTTCTTTCAGTATATTCAGGATATCACCTCTCCAGTACTCAGTGGTAAATTTACATTGAAATCAGTATTTTCAGCTTTCAACTAAATCCTCACTGTAGCTTTTGTATAAGTTTCCATGTGTATATAAAACTACATGTAGTACAAATATTCCTCTGTTTCATTTTTTTCTCATTATGGGTTTAAAAAAGAAATCCATTCACAATCGGCTTGAGCAAGTTGTTGCACCAAATGACCTCCCAGTCACAGCCACCCTGTGCTGCTGGTAGTCTATATCCCTTTCTAAATATGCTGAATGGTTACTGTTTTAAAAAAGATACATTCCCCTTCCCTAGAGCCTTTCCCTGCTTTGTGCTACCTGACTGCTGCAGCTGCAGAGCAGGGCAGTGCGCACACAAAGCTTTGAGAAGCCAGTTCATGGCAAGGAGAAGGAGTTCCCATCTCTTAAAAAAGGGTCCTTTTGACTTACCCATTTGCCTCGCTAGCCACTGAGATTACACCTTTTTTGATAGGGTCTTTACTCTCACCTTTTTTCTTGTAAATTTAGGAGATGAGAATGGATATTTTTCTTCCCTGGCACTCTGTGAAGTGCTGTTTGGATGACTGGCTGTATTAACGTGTGATTTCTGTTATGCTTTGTATTAAGAAATATGAATTTTACTTTTACCACTTCCTAATCTTTTAGTCCAGAATGAATACCTCAGATTTTAGCATGTGCTGTAAAAAGTTCTCCCCTCTTCTTGTTTGCTCATTAAGATGAGGTAGGTAAAATTACATAAAGGAACTACTAATACTTGATTACAAGTTTTATTTTTTGAAACTATATAATGGACAAATGCTTCAGTGCCATAAGCCATTTTTGGCTAATTTAAATTAAATTGCATCCAATATAAATGAAGTTCTTATTCCTCATCTTTTGGGGCTTTCCCCCCATTTTTTGTCTTCGATTATGTATCTGCTGAAAGAATACTCTGTGCTCTAAAGCATTTATAATGTTCCAACCCCAAAAGGCCATGGATTTCCCTTGACATATTCATGCTCAGTTGCACATTTACAGTAATAAGTAAGGCTAAAGAATCTTGCACTGTAAATAAAAGACTTGGCATAGAATAGTATACCTTGAAATTTCACATCTATTGTATTTTTACAAGACTCACCTTCCTAGAAAACTATTAATGAAATGTTTGCTGTCACAGCAGTTGACAGTGCTTTAGAAAAATATCCTTTGTTAAATTTGTTTTGGCTATTCTTCCAGAAATTTGTGGAAAATAGAATGGGTTTTCAAAATCATATCCATGAACAATGTTTATCTTATTCTTCACACAAAGGATTTAACCTGTGCTCTGTAGGAGAGGGCCAAGTCAATTCTCTCCTTCCTATAGCTATGACAGTCAGAAAAGCAGCAAAGTTCTGCTTCTGCTTCATCATGTCTGCGTGAAGTGGTTAGGCTTTAGCAGATGGATGTGAATTGCATTTTGATTCTTTTCAAAAACTTAAGTCAGCATTCAGGGTGAAATTTAAGGCCATGCTGTTAGTCAGAGCAGTTCCGGTTAAACAGATCTGCTATTCAGGCTGACGGTGCCCCCCTTTCAGTAGGAAGGAATAAGGGAAGCTGCTGACGAGGAGTGATGACAGTCACTGCCAGCAGCAGTGATAGTGGGTTCAGTAGTCTAATAAATTGGGTCTTTATCCCTTTTAGAATCAAAAGGCTGAATAAAATTGGTGTGGACTGCTTTTAAATACCCTTTTTAGAGCAGTACTGTGCAAATTGTGATTTGGGAGAAATTTAAGCCTTTATGTATTGCTATTACAACCTTTGTTCTGAATCAGCCTCATAATGAACATACAGGTAATGGTAGCTCACATCCCATGCAAATGATCAATGAAAAATATTGCTGACAACCAATGTAGTATTTCATTTATGTTTCATATATCATTTACTTTTCCTTAAAAGAGAGCATGGTATAGCGATGTAAAATTATCCCAACCGGTAATACTTAATTGCAGTACTTTTTTCTGGCTAACAAACTTAGCAACATCACATCAGCCATGAAGATAAGATGGTATCCCAGCATTCCCATTTGTTATAAATTTATGATGTTTCACCAGACAGCAGTTTGAAGTGCAGCTTTCATGGCTCTCTGAGAAGTCCTCTGATGAGGGCAGGGTTCTGAGATGACTTTTGTCTTCAAGAGCTGGAAACAGGACCATACAGTGTTCCAGCTCAGCCTTCCTTTCCAGATCAGATTGCTGGTCTTAGGAATAAGCTATGTTATGTAGGCTCTCTCCTTCTCCTCCCCTACAGGAACAGCTGTGTAATATAAAACAGAAGAAAGAATTTTACATCTAATGAGAGAATGGGATTTTTTTTCTTACCGGTTATGGTGATTGTTTGGTAGAGTACCAAGGGAAACTGAGAGCACAGTCTAAATTCTCTATTTTGTCATATTTGGTCTTTGCCAATTTGGCCCTTGGCAGAGGAAGACTTAATTTCATCTGGGAAAGAAACAAGCTAGCTCTTGGAGACTGGGGGTTGTTGTTCCCAAAGGCATGCCTCAGAGGAACCATTTTTAAGATATTTTATTTAGAAATGAGGGACAGAACAAGTCATAAAAATTACTAAATAACTAAAAATGCCAAATTTGTATGGTCTAAGCACTAAGTGGGCTGAGAACGAGGTTTCCTGTATTTCTGATGATTGAAGGGAAAAGTCATGATCAAAAGCACATAACAAACTTTTTAATTCTGAAGGCATGTTTTTTAACTGCTCAGGTGGATTTACTTCAAAAAGTGACTTTCTAACTTTAAAATGTGTTGTTAAATTCTATTAAGCGTTATCTTTTATTTTTGAAAAAGTAACCATTCTTGAAACTCAGCTGATCCTATCTGTGAAACACAGATTCAAACCCAGCCTTAAACACCCAAATGATGTCATTTAAGGAGAAGTTTACCCAGTACCAGGCTTCTTATTACTTCTGGTTTTTTAGTCCCTTACCTACATGTCTTGGAAAATCAGTGGTCTGTCTGCGGTATGAATGGCTGTTTTGAGCACCTCCTGGAGTTTTACTGTTCTCTCAGTTTTTAAATTTGCCATGTTTATGAGAAAGTAAAATTATGAAGAGCAAATTTAGGGGAGCTGCATGTTGAGGGCAAATGTCCAATGTGCAGATTCTGGGCCACACACTTTTGGAAGGCTTTTCATACCTATTTTACACTTTTATGAAGGAAAAATCAGTAGCAATGTGAATTTATCCCACAAAAGCAACCATGTGGCTTGTAGGCAATTACAGTTGGGCACTGGTGATCAGGAATAGATTGGTAGAAAACAGCAAATATTCTCCTTTTAAGTTCCTGCAGGCTTCTCAAAATCATTTGTGTCCTCATCTTTGGTTTCCTTAGGTCAGTCAGTGGCAGCTGCTGCCCAGAGAAGGGAGGATTCGGTTCTTTTCCCAGAACTGGACATCAGTTGCAAAGACAAAATAACAGGTTTTCTGGTAGTAGATAAAACACCAAAATAGAAGAAGAAGAAGAAGAAAAGAAACATTTAAATTTTAAATTTTTAGCCAAAAGTATAGTTAAGCACTGGAATAGCTTTCTGAGGAGATCAGAAGAGCGTTCAAAAGACTTTAGGGACAAGTTAGACAAGGATACATAAGCAGTCACAGTAGTATGATTGATCCTGCCCCTGTGAACAAGTTTGGATCTGATGCCTGCTTGAGTTCTCTTTATTGCCCTACTTTTTATTAATAGCTGTTTCTCACAATGAAGACTAAAACCTTTTCATTCAAAGACAGACAGGTATCTCATGCTTTGTGGTTCTGATTTGGAGAAGAAAGACCTCCACAGGCTAAGTCTTAAAACTAAACGTTAGCCTTTTTTTCCGTGTAGCATAGCTCAAAGATAGATTTAAAAGGCACCTCCAATATTTTAGATGCTAGTCCCCTTCACAGTGGGCTGGAGTGTTAAATAAGGTGGCCTTATTCCTTCAGCTAGCTTTACTTCTGTGTAAATGTTCAGTTTGTTCATCTACTCTGACAACCTCTCCATGAGAAATGAAGTTTTAATTTAGGCTTGTATTTTACTGTACTTGAGTATATCTATTTTAAGAATGAAATCAGTGTCTTAATTTTCAGTATCTGGAGTTCTTCTAAATACATCTATCTGGGCTCTCACACCCTTGCCTTCTAAGAAAGATCCTAACCAGAGTATTCTATGATAGTTTGAATGCTAAAGCTATTGTACCCATCTAGTAGAATTAATTGATCATATTTTACTTTGTGTTACTCTGAAGTTATTCCCACTTAATTTAACTTTCATAAGAACAAAGTAGAGCAAACCTCAGTTCCACTCAACTATTTGGTACTACCCTCACTAACTGTATCTTTTGGCCAAAAGACACTGTGGAATTATTTAAAATGTAATGTTTTGTAATTGTGTCCAGAATAACTAAATTTATACTTTTTTTTTCTTTATTTTTTTATTTCAGGAACTGCATCTGTTGCTGTTGCAGGTCTCCTTGCAGCTCTGCGTATTACCAAGAACAGGTTATCAGATCACACAGTGTTGTTCCAGGGAGCTGGAGAGGTATGTACTTTTATGCATCACGAAAAATTGTGCTATGGTGATTTTTCTTAGTATTTAATCAAGTTATATATGCCCGCTTAACAAGATGATTAAGTGGGTAGAATGATCACTAACCCATGCTGAAATCTGGTTTTCAATTCAAAATCATCTGCTCAAGCCTTGTATTTTTCATAAGATATATTTGGAGATCTGTTCTTTTTTTAGAACTTCAGGTTTTAGCTCTTCAGCTGTAAGTTATTGAACTACTCTTAATATAAGCAAACAAAACATTTTTGAAAGATGAGGAAATACATCAGAGAAAGTAAAGAAAACATTTACATAAATCAGTGTTACTTAGTAGGAAGCAGTGCCCCTTTGATTTTTTTTTTTGTCATTCAATACAGTTTTTCAGTGTTCTGCATATCAAGATCATCCATTTCTGAAGATCTTATGCACATTTTTTTATAATAATTTTTCAGTATTAATTTCTAAGCCACTGACACACAAGTGAGGTTTGTACTTATCTACGCTGTGGCTTATCATCTCTTGCATGAAGTCTTGAACCGCATGGACATTTCTTTAATTTCATTAAATATTTGGTATTACATCTGTAGTTTTCAGAACTACTTGTATCCATGGCTGCCATGTCAATGCCTTGATGTATCAAAACTATCCATCTCTTTGGAGTTCCTTCCCCCGGTTGAATCCATGGTCTAATGTTTTTTGGGGTTTTTTATTAGTGTTGTCAGTGCACCTGATACTGCAAAGAGGTAATGGTAGATTTCATTCCTCCTGCAGGAGCAAATTTTTAATAAAACTACTTATTTCTTAATGAAAAAGGGGGAGTCTGATTTGATTCTCAGTGAACAAGAAACAGAATCGACCCTATATATATGTATATGAGTTGGTAATCAGAAAGAATGAGTGGTCTCTTGGCTCACTCTGTTGCCTCGTTTTCAATCTGTACCTGTATGACATTTGATCTGCTGGATGAAATATTATAAAATCCAGTAAGAATCATACACTTTTCAGCAAAACATTGATAAGTGAGTTCTTCTCTTCCCTGCTTTCACTGGGAGCACAGCCAAGTATACAGATACAAAATAAGTGAATAGTAGGTAAAAGGAGACTTACCCTCCTGATGGACATTTTAAAAAAACATAAAAGCAAAAGATCTTTTAGGATTGTGTTTTACTTTCTGGCATGCGGACTGTGATTTCCTTTGGTTTAAATTACAAAAATTTCAAAGAAGAAAAAACACTTAATGCATTCTGAGATTATTATCATACAGTGATAGAATGGTTTGAATTGGAAGGAACCTTAAAGATCATTTAGTTCCACTCCTGCTACAATGGGCAGGGAACCTTCCACTAGCCAGGTTGCTAGTGGAAGAACACCATCCAACACGGCCTTGAACACTGTAAGTATTATTATGTGGAATAAATGTTAATTCTAGCATTTTCTAGTTAAAACATTTATTGCACTCTCCACACTCTAAGTGCCATCTGAAGATTTATCTGTACTATGATTTATCTGTATAAGATTTATCTGTGTTATTTTCTGCATTATGGTTTCTAATTACCAAATGGTAGCAACAGTTCATTAGGTTTACTTTATGAAAAAATAATTATTCAGTTTTATTGTTTAATGAAATTAAAAAACTTTCCTAAAATAGTGGGTAAAGGAGAAAAGTGAGCAGGGGATTTCTTTTACTTCTTGTTTTTTATACTATTTTGTTTTGTTTTTCTTCAGGCTGCACTAGGGATAGCAAACCTCATTGTAATGGCTATGGAAAAAGAAGGGATTTCCAAAGATGCAGCTACCAAAAGGATATGGTTGGTTGACTCAAAAGGATTAGTAGTAAAGGTAATATGATTTTATCATTCCTTCAAATATCATGATATTGCTTGCACTCTGTAGATAAAGACAAGAACATATTCTTTGTGAAAGCAACTGCAGCAATATATCTCTCTTGGCATAGCAAGTTGTTTTTCTTTTCTAAAGTTTATTAAATTAATGACAGACTTCCATGTTACTTCAGGGTGAGGGATGATTATGCTTGGAGTTCCTGCTCTATTTCTCTTAGGGATGAGCACATAATGAAGAGAATTTTTCAGCAGTTCATTAAAAAACGTGTAAAGATAGAAATGTTCAACTTAGGGGTTTAATATTTCCCATGTTAATGTAAACTACTATTTTTGATCGCAGTCTTGCACAGAGACATGTATGTCCATTATTAGGATGGCAGGCAAGTCATCCTCCTGCAAGAACTGAGATAGCTTGCAAGAAATAGCTTCTCTGCACAGCGATATAGCTCATGTTGCAGATGTTGTGGTCTGCAGTGCTATCAACACTGGTCAGAATTTGAAGCTGCTGAGAGACTTCATCAGTCACCCTTACCTCATTCCTTCTGTGTGCCAAAATAAAGAAACATATGAATTCCATGTGCCAGAATAAAGAAACTGGTATGTTTTAAAGGTAGTTATGCATTTAATAGTTCTTGAGCTACTTAAAGGAAGTGGATGAGAGGCCAGTTGGCTTTGTTTTTTCACCTTGCCAGTTGGTTTGCTGTACTTGTGGTCGTTTTGTTGGTACCACACCCCTGCCCAGTGTTCTTTAGCCATCTGATATGAAAGATCTTTTGTGGTTCCCATATCTTTGAATCAGGAGGATGCAGTCTGCAGTCAGTATCTGTTGGCTTATTGAAGAGCATCACAGCACCTTTCACTCATCCTGTTAAAGGGAATATAGTAGGTTCATAGACTCTGAGATGGGAGAGTATTACTAAAGTCATCTTGGACATCCCTTGCCAGAAGGCACAAAAGTAGTCTGACCAGGTACAGAAGAATGCCACTATCTAGGACACAGGTGTTTTGTTTTGTTTTGATTTGTTTTGTTTTGTGTGGGGGAGTTGGTGCTTTTCTTTTTGTTTGTTTTAGTGAGTGTGTTTAATCCTTTTTGTTTTCATCTAATAATCTTAAAGCTATTTTGTGTGCAAACATAGATGATTGAAGGCTTGTGTATTGTCTATGGCTGTTGAAACCTCGAGGTTGTCTAAGAAGAGTGATGTGTTGCATCATTTCTTCCACCATAAAGACTGGGATTATCAAATAATACAATTGAACTAAAATCACCTCCTGGTACTGTTAAGGGAACAAACTGACAGGGGCAGAAGTGTAGGACCTTCCCAGCCCTAAGGCAGCAAAACAGGTCTCGGCTGCATGTCTGTCTGGTCGAGGTGGCTAACCAGCCTTTCTTCTCTCTCCCTTTCTTCTCCCTGCTTCTTTACACCTCTCACTGCTAATTTGCTAGTCAGTTGAGAAGCCGAGTTGTTGCTTTTGGTAAGCAGCAACTGATTCCTTTAACAGGTTCTAAATTTTTAGTGACTTGGTGACTGCATTCTTTCCTCACCGCCCTCTAGTTTCTGTGCTCTAAAGCACTGCCAAAACTAATCAGTGTCTCACACAGCTTCGATGTTCCTTTCCTTGCTTGTTCTTCTTGGTGGAGCTTTAATTTGAGTTTTGTCCAAAAAGCAGTCCACTGAATTTCATGTTCTGCCTGGAGTATATTTTTGAACTGTTTGTGATAGCCAGACATAACAGCTGTCTGAGGTAGATTAGGGCTGAATTTGTGGCCAGATGTTGACGCAAGCAGCAGGAGCCGATGGTGCACATTTCAGGTCGTTGCTTGTGTTTCTGGAAGACCTGGGAGCACCAGTTTTCCTGTCTAGCCATCCTGGGGGGCTTGAGAATGCGTGGGTGCTTACTGCTGCACTGTATGAAGAGCCTGCTGGGGTCTAGAAGCTCGAGATCTGTCAGTGCAAGGCCTGAGCTCGGCATAAGGAAGCATGTTCTTGGTCTAGAGGCTCTGTAAGTCCTCTCTTGGCTTCTTCTGCAGATAAATGTTCCCCTGAAAAGTAAGAAAAATAAAAGAAAAATGCCCTACCCCCCCCAAAAAAAAAAAGAAAATACAAAGAAAAAATACAATGTAAGCCTCTTGAGGCTTGAGATTTAACTGCCAGGAAATAATATGTACAGCAAATAAATAATTAAGCTATTCTTGGTTCCTTTTTCTGGCCTGAGAGAGAATGCTGTGATTGAAGTCTGCTTAGGAAATTGTTTTGGCTTTAGCTGATTGCAGAAAAGTGCTGCAAGGCTTGTAAGATTTTCCAAATTCTTAGAAATGAGATGAGAGAAGTAAAATGGGGAAAAATTATGAGAAAACTCTACAAGCGAAGGACTCTATTGTTAGCAACCTTTTGATTATTGCAAAGGTAAGAATTGCCAAGCTACAGCATAGATCACCACTTAACCAACTTTTGCACAAACTAAACTGACACACTACTAAGGACATGTATCAACAGAAGTCTGTTCAACGAGAGTCCTTTCAGCTTTGGTTTACAAAAACCTGCTTAACCAAAAGAATTTTACTTGAAGCAGTGAGACTTTTTCAGTCCTATAAATATTCTGATCTATTGCTTTAGCAGTGTGAGAAATAAAAGAATCTCTTAAGACTCAGCAATTACTTTGTCCAACAAAACTAATTTTTACATCATTTATATGCCATGCTGTCCTTTGATCATTAATTTTGAAATGTCTGATTATAGATTTAAACATAGTTTCTCCTTTCATCTGCTTTCTGTAGTATTGCAACCATTTCTAACCAAAGAAAAATAACCTTGGAACTTTTGTTGACCTCGCTGCAGTTTCCACCTTTTTCTTCTTACGCCGCCCTCAAAAGCTGCCACGAAGTCACTTATCAGGCTTTTGTTGCTGAATTTGTCCTTTGTGGCTTTTTAATTTTAATTCAAGTGCAGCTGTGTTTTCATTTTCCTGTTAATTTTATCCCCCTTCCCCTTGGGAACCATCTGTTTTCATTAAACCAAGTCTGATGACCAACTTTTCTGCTATGTTGTGGTGAAAGAGCTGGTGATGAAGGCTGTGTTTGTTATGCTGCCTATAGTTATGTTCTATACTACATTATAGAGACCTTTTAGTGTTGTTGGTATTCATTTGGGGTTGTTGTTTGGTCTTTTAAAATTTATTCAGAATGCTTTTACCAGTCGAAATTAATTGTTTTGCAAAGTTGGGTGAGGAAGGTTTGCAGATAATAATACCATTAGAATTTAGCCACACTTAAACTATGTGACTTTTTGAAACCCACTGTCTTAAGTATTCCAGTGCATTCAAATGGAAATTTTAACATTTAATTAAAAGACACTTTTAAAGTTGTTTTCTCTCTGTGGTGTACTTCAAGATGTACCAGTGATGCCCAAAAAAAAAGGCAGGTAAATAAAACCGCTCAAAGACAGAGTTTGAAGTCCTTAAGCAGCAAGGTATTTATTGATTATTGACAACGCTGGGGAGATTTACCAGTTCGGGCCAGGTAAAAGCTCCAAAGTGATTTAGTAAGAACAAGCAATTTATACATTTTCTGATCATGATTACAACATAACTTCATGCATATTCATATTATTGCATCATTTGATTACAATGTTCATAGCAGGTAGAGTCGGGGCGGAGATTGAGGCGTGGTTCTCCATTTTGAGGAATATTTTAGTGGGAGTTCCTGTTTGCCTTCATCCTGGGGTCCGCTTTCTCAGTCCTCATCCTCGCGTCACCTCGGGGACCTTTCGTACTTTCTATTGTTCTGTGTTCTGATCATTCAGGCTTAAAGAAACCCTTGGCTTTAGGCCCACTTTACCTATTCAGATGTCTACCTTGGCTCCTCTGGATGAGATTTATGGGTGTTGAGTTCTTTGTCCAGTGTTTGTTGTGGTTCCTTTAAGGTCTGATGCCCTCAGTACGGGACAAAGTCTTCCTGTACGAAATGTAGCTTACAGGAAACGAAATACAGCTTTTGGTAAACTATAAGTCGTACAGGGGGGTAGGGGGGCTCTTATGGGTTTACAGTAAAAGTGTCTCGGTTAACCCTTCCTGTTTCACTAGGTTTTGGTAGCAGGGGAGGGGGGAAGGAGCTACAGGGGTGGCTTCTGTGAGAAGCTGCCAGAAGCTTCCCCCATGTCTGGTAAAGCCAATGCCAGCCAGCTCCAGGACAGACCTGCTGCTGGCCCAGGCTGAGCCAATCAGGAACGTTAGTAATGCCTCTGTGATAACATATTTAAGAAAGAAAGAAACAAGGGTATTGAGCAGATGAAATTGCGGCCAAAGAACGGTGGGACAACATGTGAGAGGAATAGCTCTGCAGACACCAAGGTCAGTGAAGAAAGAGGGACAGGCAGTGCTCAGGGTCATGGAATTGAGCCCCATATTGGGTGCCAGTAAAAAACTGATGGGTTGACCTTGGGTGGATGCCAGGTGCCCATCAAGTCGTTCTGTTTCTCCCCTTCTCAGGAGGACAGTGGAGAAAAAATAAGATAGAAAATTACTTGTATGTTGAGATCAAGCAGTTTACTGAAGCAAAAGTGCAAGTTTGTGTGCTCACAAGCACAGAGAAAAAAGGGTTCCTCTTCTCTACTTCCTATCAGCAAACGATATGGGGGGTGAATGTTGGCAAGACAGAACTGATGCTGTGCCAGCGCTGCTCAGCAGAAGCCGAAACACTCATGTGTTATCAACCTCTTTCTAGCTACCAATGCAAAGCACAGCACTGTGAGGGCTGCTGTGAGGAAATTAAGTCCAGCTCAGCCAGACCCCGTACAGAAGATTATACATAAGCAGTTGGGACTCATCTTTAATTCTGAATTCTGCCCCGTGGTCACATTCTCTCTGATTGATTAATAAATTTTTACCTTATTTAAAAACATTGATGGGTTATGTCTTCCACATTCCTTTCTATTCCCATATTCTCAGTGTTCCCATACTTTTTTTTTTTAATCACACAAATTGCATAAATGTGTGATGAAC